AGAAAACACAAGTCACAAGTTTTCCCGCTTTCGCACCATACATACACCGGCGATATCACTCTCGTGACCCCGAGCCAGGCAGAGACCCTTCGAGTGCATGCACAAAGTACTTGCGAGTGCGGCAGAGCATCAAAGAAGATCCCTCAAAGGACCTGACTTTGCGACTGTGGTATGTGGGGGATTTTACAAGGCAAGACCGACGGTAGAGACAAGAGAATCGACTCAGGGAAGGAACAGCCCCTTGACTAAGTAATAGCTTACTCTTTCACTCAAGAATGATGGAGCATTCACGGCATGCATCGCCGCCACCAAGCACGCATATCAGTCAACAAGGAGATTGCCTTCTACAGCCACCGCTATCAGAGCGGGAAAGGCCTGATAAACAAATCCATCTGCGATAAATCACCGTGCTGTATGCATACAATTCGCCGCTCGAAGAATAACTCCAAATCGAGCCATCGACTCCACAAGTGGTGCCGGGGTAAGCTAGCATAAGCTGCATGTGAACCTGCCAGGAAGGAATACCAAGACAACTACCACCTGCAGCCGAGAAAAGATTCTCCCCCACGATGTAGACCTTCTAGAATCCATCGATGGAACAACCGCTATCTAAGGAAACATCATGGATTTGGCTTCCTCTGCTTCTGACAAACGGGCTGGTTTCGCAGCATTGGGGAAAAAAAGCTTTGCCATTGGAACTGACGGTCCTTCTTCCCAAAATGTACGTCTTCAGTGCCCTAGACGCAGCGGCTCTCGAGAAAACTTCAAGACAAGGGAAGTAAGACAACTTATGGTTTGGAGTAGGGGACCTAATTGCGTGCTCAAATTCGAGTGGGAGAATCAGCGCTTGAGACCGACTGCGAGGGCCCTGGAAGATTCTTCATACCCTTTCAGAGAGGGAGTCATGCAGCAAGATACACACTGCAAAGACTTGGTACCAGACTATCAAGAAAAAGAGGTTAGCGGTATTGAGATGTCTTGAAGAAGTCCGATGGCTGGTTAAAGGTTTACCGTGCCCGACTGGTGTCTATATTAACCGCAATACCTTCGAGATGGAATAGAGAAATTTCATGACATGATCAATACTCTAATTCTGTACTGGTACGGCGAAAGTGCGTTACTGTGTATCCGTCTGCAATACAGGTCTGCAAGCCAGGTACTGTACTGGCTTACAGGTAAAATGTGACAAAACACAAATACAGCTAGAAGATCAGATTAGACAAAGCGGATCAGATACAGGTCTAGCGGGGTGGGTTCCCTTCCAATGAAGGATCTGATTAGATTATCTGCACGAAAAACTTCATTCCCACTAGACTCCTTTCGGGATTTGGAAACGCAACCCAGCCCCACGCCGAAAAATGCCGGTCGAGCGAAGTGCCTCGGTTGAATTGATTTGCCAGTCTTGCCAAGAGGTGTACAATACACCACTCACTCGGGAGGGAGCTCACTGCTGCGTTTCTTCGGGGTCGCTAACCAGCAAAATCTGCTGAAAGTCTCGTCTCCTCGCCAAACTGCCACAGTCCTGCATACCCGACTGACAACCTTGCGTGGAGTAGAACAAGAGTTTGGTTCTCAGGTGGAAACAGTGGCAGGATGTGTCCCCTCTTTTTCTCCTCCGACTGTACAGCACTCCCGTCCGTACAACACCCGGAATCCCGGACGTAACCAGAACCGGACGTACGTCAGTCCGTACCAAGTAAACAAACAATGCATTCTTCATACGTAGTGGTATCATTCAGCCCGACAAATTCCCCCCCCCACCCTTCAAAATTCTCATCATCATCACCAAATCCTCCACTTCACAACTTCGACGCCCTCCACTGCGGCGCCCGCTTCTCCGCAAACGCCCGCACGCCTTCATGAAAATTCTCCCCGGCCATCAACTTCCCATACCACTCCTCGACCAACCGCTCACTGCCCACCTCGACATGAGCCTCCTCCCAGCCGAGATGTAACCCTTCCAGCGTCACCCGAATACTATCGGGACTATTGCTGGCGATGGCGGTCGCGATCTCCACCGCGCGGTCCACCAGCCCCTCAGGCGTGTCGACGACCTCATTGACCAACCCCCAGCGCTCCATCTGGGCGGCCGAGAACGGCCGGCCCGTGAGCGCGATCTGGGCGGCGCGCTGGCGGCCGACGACGCGCACCAGCCGCGGCAGCGAGCCCGCCACCGCCGCGATCCCGCGCTGCACCTCGGGCAGCCCGAACGTCGCGGTGCTGCTGGCCACCACGATGTCGCAGTTGGTGATCATCTCGAACCCCCCGCCTAAACAGAAGCCGTTGACGGCCGCGATGATGGGTTTCACGCCGCGGCGGCGGGGTAGCCCGGCTAGTCCGGGGGCGGTCATTTTGTTCTCGATGCCCCGGGCGTTCAGGTCGTTCCATTCTGTTGGTTAGAGATTCCGGTTGTTAGTGAAGGGTGGTGGTGGTGGTGGTGATTGCTGAGTGACTAACCCTTCAGGTCGGCTCCGGCGCAGAATGAACCCCCTGCGCCGGTGATGATGGCCACGCGCAGGGTCGGGTGGACGTCGAACCAGGACCAGAGTTGTTGGATCTCTTGGCTCGTGGCGAGAGTGATAGAGTTGCGCTTTTCGGGGCGGTTGAGCGTCAGGAGGAGGATTTGCGGGGTGGGGAAGCTGATGAGGCAGCCTTGGACTGTCGGGTGGTTCTGGGACATGGTTGGTGATGTGATCGATTGTAGGATGGTTGGATAGATTGATTTGAAGAAATTCGAGGAGGGGAATTGAGGGGAGGGGGGTTGTAGTTGTAGCAATGAAGTGGCCTCAGGAGAAGGGTGGGAGTTGTGAGATGAAATGATGTTATGAGATAAGACTGGAGCCGTACGGAAAGAAGTAAGTTCGGTTCGGTGTGTAAGTTATGGAATGGTAAAGATAGGTACGTTCGATACGAAATTGCAGAAGCTCCACTCTTGACTTGGCCTTCGTGAACCTCGGGCTGATTGATTGATTGATTGATTGATTTGATTGATTAACTTAGGTTGTTATTTGTAGCTCTCCTCCCTTCATCCTCTTCTTCCTTTCTTTCTCCCTCCATCCTTTCCCCTCCCCTCCCCTCTCCCGCTCTCGATCACTTCTCCTCCTCTACACACTCCTCCTCTACTCCCTCAAAACACATCCCATCATGTCCTCCACCAAATCGTTACCCTGGGTCAAACTCCCCCACCCTTATCTCACCACCTACAAAATCCACGTTGTCTCCGAATCCACCAGCCCGCGCGTCCTGCAACTCCGCCTCCACGACAGCCAAGCGGCCGGGGAGCCCCTCCCCGAGCCCTTCCACCACGACTCCCTCCAATACACCGACCTCAGCTACAATGAATCTGCCAAAGCGATCCCGCTGAACAACAACAGCCCGTGGGCGCGCAGCCAACGCAGCCCGGGCACAACCTTCAGCTGGACGAGCGGCTCGCCGCCGACGCTGGCGCAGATCTGGAACCTCATCCACGCGACCTTCCTCACGCACCCGGAGCAAGAGACGGTGCGGCTGGACCTGGAGGGGCCCGGCCACGCGATCGTGCGCGAGGAGTGCATCCGCACGGGGCTGGCCGTGGCCTTCCCCTCGCCGCGCGAGCCCTTCGGCACCGAGAACCAGCCCTCCCAGCTGCCGACCGTCGTGCTCCTCCGGTCCGCCTTCTGGCAGGGCGCCGGCTCCCCGCTGGGCCCGCGGCCCATCTGGGCCGTTGACCCAGGCACCCACGGCCAGCTCCGCCGCGCCGGCAGCCAGTACCCGCCGCTGGCGCAGAACTACGAGTTCTCGATGAAGTTCCCCGAGGAGCGCGTGTACGCGCGCCACCCGATCCGGCCCGTCAAGCCCACCCCGGGCGCCCTCGTGTACAGCCGCTACATCCCGCACCTGGACCAGCACTTCTCGCTGATGGCGGTCGACTGGCGGAACGAGGAGCACCTGCAGCTGTTCCACACGTGGCAGAACGACCCCCGCGTCGCCAAGGGCTGGAACGAGACCGGCTCCGTCGAGCACCACCGCAACTACCTCCGGAAGCTGCACGAGGACAAGCACGTGCTGTGTCTGTTTGGGCGGTTCGACGAGAAGCCGTTCGCCTATTTCGAGGTGTATTGGGCCAAGGTACCCACGGCCCCCCTGCCCCGAATCCTTTCCCCGAGTCTGTCTCGTCAGTGTGCTAATCTTTTTTTTTTTTGCCCCGCAAAAAGGAGGACCACTACGGCGCCCATTACGACGCGGGCGACTACGACCGCGGCCGCCACTCGCTGGTCGGCGACAACAAGATCCGCGGCGCCTTCCGCGTCAACGCCTGGTGGTCCAGCGTCATCCACTACATCTTCCTGGACGAGCCGCGCACCCAGTGCGTCGTCGGCGAGCCCAAGGCCTCCGGCGGCACCGTGCTTTCCTACGAGAACGCCCAGGGCCTGACCGTCCAGAAATACGTCGACCTCGGCCACAAGCGCTCCGTCCACGTCTTCTGCAGCCGCGAGAAGTGGTTCCAGCTGTGTCCGCTGTGGTGGGACGGGCGCGAGCGGCCTCTTGAAAGCTCGGATCGCATGGCGTGGGATGCCAAGTTGTAACCCTTTTTTTCGGAAATTCTTTGGTGGTTGGGTGTATATAATGTGATGGAATTGTAAAATTATGATTTAGTTGATATTTCTCCCTGGCTGTGCTGGATCCGGCATCATGCGATGAATTATTCAATTCTGTGGGATAACTACGGATGCCGCTTCATTTTATCGTACCTTACAGTAAGTAGTGTGGGTCTGGGACGGCGGGGTTCTGTATTGAGTGTATTGTACGGTCTGCCAAGCTGTGCTGTATTACTGACACGCTTACGATAATACCAGACAGTATCATTCCTGAAGCGGTCCCGTACGATACCCGTGTCTCCGTCTTACTGAAAACCGAAAGCTCGTCCGTCCACTTTCAGGTTTAGCTCTCCGTACTTGTTCAGCCCGCACTGTTATTGACATTCTATCGGTCAACGCTTGATCTGGACAATAGTTATCTTGCACATATACAATTCATACCGACTGTATCAATCTAAAACGCCTCGCTAGCCATATACATCATTATACCAAAAACATCAATCCTCTAAAGAACCCATTCAACGCTGTCCATCTCACCCACTCTCCATCACATCAAGCAGATACAGCACCCCAACCACCGCCACCGGCCGTCATGATCACAATGCGGTCATGCGTCTTCATAGAGACGGTATTCTTCCCTCCAATGTTGACCTTCCTCTCCACCCCGGTATCCGGGTCCGTGGTCACCCACAGGTTCATTCCAGGCTGAGCATCGTCACCTCCCTCGAGACCATAGGGACGGTAGACCCGTCTCTCCGAGAGGATGGAGACCTCCATCGGGGACAGGAACTCGACCTCTCTGACTACCCCGTCGCCACCGGGGTGCTTGCCCTGGCCGCCGGACCCGTCGCGGAGAGTGAACTGGCGCAGCAGCGTCGGGTAGCGCTTTTCCAGGATCTCGGGGTCTGTGATGCGCGTGTTGGTCATATGCACGTGGATGCCGGACTCGCCGTTCCAGGTCGGCCCCGCGCCGCTACCGCCGGCGATGGTCTCGTAGTACCCGAAGCCCGGGATGATCTCGCCCGTGTCTGGGTCCTTCTTGGAGTTGGTGCCAAAGGTCAGGTTGTTGCAGCAGCCCTGGGACGCCGCACACGCCCGGAACGCTTTCAGCACCACGTCAGTGACACGCTGGGAGGTGACCACGTTGCCTCCGACCACGGCTGCCGCTTTCGTGGGCGAGAGGATACTGGGCGAGGGTACCCGGATGTCGATGGGGGCCAGGCAGCCTTGGTTCAGAGGCATGTCCGCGTTGATCATGCATCGAAGACAGTAGATGATGGCCGAGTGGGTGATGGCAATCGGCGCGTTCCACCCTCCATAGACTTCCGGACCAGTGCCCTCAAAGTCGAACACCGCGGACCCATCGGTTCCGTTGATAGTGACCTTCAGCTTGATCGGGGTCCCGTCGTCCATGTAGTCAACTGCCTCCAATGGCTGACCACCAAACTTCTTGTGGAGGTCCTTCAGCAGATTGCGTACCGCAGTCTCGGCCGTAGCCTGAATGGCATACATGTACTTCTGAACCGTCTCTACTCCATACTCTGCAAAAAGAGCCTGAATCAAGGAGATACCACGGGTATTGGCGGCGATCTGTGCTTTCAGATCCGACAGGTTGTCCGAGATGCAACGAGCTCCAGAGCAACCGGGGTATTGCGCGGGTTTGTGAACCAGAAGCTCGATCATCCGCTCCTCATCAAACACACCGTTGCTGACAATTTTGTCACCTTCGATGGCAGCACCTTCCTGCCACAATTCGGTCGACTTGGGCGGCATGGACCCCGGGAGAATACCACCAATGTCGGCATGATGACCGCGAGAGGCAACATAGAACATGATCTCGCTACCACCGGGCCTGTCAAATACAGGGGTAATTACCTAGGTGAAGGTCAGTCCAGTCCACTAAAATATGTTCAAAGAATCACGTACAGTAATATCAGGCAGATGAGTTCCACCGCAGCTAGGGTGGTTGGCAACCAAGACGTCGCCGTCCTGAAGCTTGCCCAGCCACTTCTGGTGTTGGTAGCGTACAGCAAACTGCATGGAGCCAAGGTGAACAGGCACATGGGGCGCGTTGGCTACCAGGCCGCCATCGGGAGAGAAGAGGGCACAAGAGAAGTCCAGGCGCTCCTTGATGTTAGTCGACACGGACGTCTTCTGCAAGGTTCGGCCCATCTGCTCGGCGATGGACATGAAGCGATGACCAAAGATAGTGAGGCGGATAGGATCAATACCAGAGGAAGATGTAGCTTCATCTTCACTGCTCTTTGGTAGCTCCTGAAGATCAATCACAATGCAAGTATCCAGAATCTTGGCCTCGGCATTAGGCGCAACCACAACTGTTTGCGTCTCATCAATGATGATTGCTGGACCGTGTACTCGAGTGTTCTTGTCTAGTTTGTTCAGCTGGTACACAGGAGTATCGATCCGCTCGGCTTTGCCATCGAAATAGGCTTTCGAGATAGTGTCTGGGTCACCGCTAACATCCTTGATTGTGGCTTCGCGGAGCTGTACCAGAGGGCTTACTTCCTCACGCACTTTGGAGCAAGCAATCGTACGAACGCGGACATCGTCCACCAAGACTGGCCGATCGGAGTTGAAGCCAAACTCTCGGCGATGTCTGGCACTGAACTCCTCCAGGAAGTCGGAGTCGTCTTCAGGCTTCAAGATCATGAGGCTTGTGTCTGAGCCTTCATAGCGCAAGTTGAGATAAAGTTCGTGTCGAACTTGATCAGCTGAGAATCCTTGACTCTCCATATCCTTCACGGCCGCTTGGATCAAGTCATCGAAGCGTTTGTCGAGAGTGGAGCGGGAAGTCGAGTATTCGGTGGAGAGGGGCTCTTGCGACTCCTTGACAACCTCGGCCAGTGCCAGACCGTACGCAGATAGGACAGAGGAGAACTTGTGAATAATGATGCGAGAGATTCCCAATGAGGCAGCAACCGTACAGGCATGCTGCCCTCCTGCACCACCGAAGCATGCAAGATGATGGGAAGCAGTTTCAAAGCCACGGGCTTCAGTAAGGTTGCGGATTGGGCGCGCCATTGATTCATCTGCGACCTTCAGGAATCCCAATGCGACCTCTTCTGCAGTGAACTCTGTTTGGCCCTTCTCCTTCCGCTCGGAGTTGATCTTCTCCGTGAGTTCTTTGAAAAGCTTCGTGGTGACCTCTAGGTCGAGCGGCTGATCCTCATTTTCTCCAAAGATGTGAGGGAAGTATTCTGGCAACAGCCGACCAAGGAACAAATTTGCGTCGGTGACTGTCAACGGACCTCCTTTGCGATAGCAAGCAGGGCCAGGGTGGGCTGACGCTGACTCGGGTCCAACATAGAAGAGACCATTCCGCCACGAGAGGATGGAACCACCACCAGCGGCCACAGTGTTAATATCCAATTGCGGGGATTGGATAAGAACACCAGCAACCTTGGATCCAAACACATGCTCAAGATGTCCATCGTAGCGGGATACATCTGTCGATGTGCCACCCATGTCAAATCCGATCACTGGGGTTTTCTCCTTCGGATCCCAGCTGGTGGCCGCGAATCCGACCACTCCAGCAGCCGGACCGGATAGAATCGCTTTCAGCCCGCTGAACCTGCGGAAATCTACCAGGCCACCATCTGACTGCATGAATTCAAAGCGACATTCGTGTTGCTTCTCAAGACCGCCCTCGAAGCTGTCCGAGATAGAGTCGATGTAGGTCTTGATGACAGGGGTGAGATAGGCATCCGCCGCGGCAGACATGCCTCGAGGGACAACCTTGATCATTGGCTGTAGTTTCGAAGATAAGGTCACGGAGAAGCCCATACTCTCGGCCACCTCACCAATCTGGCGCTCATGCTCAGGGTACGCGAATGAATGGACCAACGCGACCGATAATGACTGGTAACCTTGGTCTTTCAACTCCTGCAGGACCCGCTGCACTTCGTCGATATCAAGTTCCTGTACCACCCGAAATCGTTCCCCAGTTGTGCCTTCGACGACTCGAGCTTCAGAGAAGCAGTCTTTGTCTGCAAGCGGGTGGCAGGGGACCACCCGCTCGTTAATTTCCACGACTCTCTCCGGCAGGACGCCAGGTCTCGCCATGGACAGATCGAATATGTTGGGACGGGATTGATCACCGATCCGGAGCAGATCGCGGAAGCCCTTGGTGGTGAGAAGGACTGACCGAGCGCCCTTGCGCTCCAGCAGTGCATTGGTAGCCACTGTCGTCCCCATGCGAAGACTTTTGATGCGGTCGAGTTTGAGAGGCTCCCCTCGTGGATGTGGCTCGCCTGTGACGAGCTCCAAGATCTGGCGAATACCCTCGGTGGGTGCATCTTGGTAGTGGCCGGGGTCAACGGATAGTAGCTTGAGGATGATGTCGGGGCAACCGGGCACGACGGCGTGTACGTCGGTGAAGGTACCGCCACGGTCGATGGAAATGGTAATCTTGTCATCAGACCCGGTCATCTTGCCGGATATCACTGTGAGACAAGACAGTAGGGTTGGCAAAGAGTAATGAAGAGGAGTGTAGAATGGTTGAGGGGAAGTCAACGAGGGGCAATCGTGGGGTTCAAATAACAATCCCGCTCTGGGGAATTGTTGATAAGCTCCAGCTTCGGATGTCGTCAGTCGGCTGTATTTACTCCACAAAGAGTCTCATTGGCCCGGGGTCACGTGTCGGGCCGATGACGGCGGGGCGTGCGGAGAGCCCGGCCCGATAACGCCGTCCTTTAAGCCCATGATAGCCATGATAAAGCAGAAGACCAAAGATAACGCAATTAGATAGGAAAGTTTGAGTGAATAGTAGTGAGGAACTCAGAATTTTGGGCGGCTGATTGGCTTGGCCCAACATCTCTGCCATCCTATTTAAATCAGACTGCATTGCCGGCCCGGCCGCGATCAGATATATCTGTGCAAAAGCCTCACCTGGTCCTAGATTCTTCAGGCTTATTTCCCTTCGTTAACCTTATCCTGGGACGTACATCTATCCTGCACAAAAGAACTGACAGCACGACTTCTTCGGATGTTGAGACTAGGGGGCTGTGTCAGTTTCAGCCCCAAACATGCCAAACAGGTTAGCGTCTCAGGGTCTGGTGTCTGTCAGCCTTACCAGCATGGCAGTTTGAAACAGCCACAGTAAAAGGCCCCCACGTGAAAGGCATCATCATATATCAAGCCGCTTCCTCCACGTTTCTTTCTGAGACCATCTGTTTTACAAAAGTTGAAAATTGGTGGTATTCGTCGAGACAATATGAGCGAATCAAGCGAATCCGTCCTGTCAATTCTCACCGGACAATCCTGGTTCTGGGATCCCATGCAGAGCAATGAGATTAGGTTTCATCCGAATGGAGCTGGCCACGTAAGGCTTTACCCCTTTCCTTCATGTCCGCGAGATCATCAAAGCTAACTCGAGCCAGTTGATCTGTCGTTACGAAACACAAGTGTGGATTATGGCGGAGTTGCATTGGAGATCTCTGCGCCCAGCTTCTCTCGAGCAGATTGCTGCGACCACCGCCGATGGCCTTCTTGGCGAATTCGAGATTGAGATCCGACTCTCCAAGCGACAGACTCCAGGAACTTATGTTCCACCTGGCCGCCGCATCAACGAAGCTCTACTCACCGACGAGGCCTTTGAGCCCAAGCTTTTCACCGTACGATTGGAACGAGGATCATTCCTTACGCAGCATGATAGAGCGGGTGACAGACAAGGTGGAGATGCCTCAAGATGGGCCATGCGTCTGGTCTTTGACAAGTCTCCTTATCCCCAGCCCGAGGAGTGGAAAGAGATGACCAGCAGTCTTCAGGCGCATAAGATGTGGGAGTGGAATGAATTTTGCAGCCATCAGCTGCCTGAGAAGGGTCTTCTGGCAGCGACTTGGTCAAAGCTGAGGGAATCATTTGTCTCCTGATGATCTATGAGAGAATAAGTGTAAATTTGTCAGAAAATAATTACAAGAATCCAATGAACAGCGACTAGGCTATACATCGACGGCTCAATTTCCCTAGACCGTTCTGACTCCACAATGACCACTCCTCCATATCCGCACCCCTTCCACAGTCTTGGTCGTCATTTGGCTCTGCTCATCCTTCCTTTTTCTCACCACCCTTCTCTTTCCCTTCCTCCTTGCCCGAATTTTCGTCGTCGTCGTCATCAGACGAGCTTCGCGACATCCAGAACCGAGAAAGCATACCACCCAGATAGGTCTGATCGACCCACTTGATGACACTGTAGAAGAACCAGCCCCAGCCCCACAGCGAGACACCCATCATGCTAGCCACCAAGAGGACTGGACCGAGGATGAGCAGCGACAGAACACACCAGAGAATAATTGCCACGGCAGCGAACAAAAAGACACCGGCCAGGAAGACGAGCAACGGGACTCCGCAACAAAGCAGCTGGCAGATGAGGAAGGTTGTACTAGCCGGCCGCTTGGATGCGGCGTCGTACAGCCGGGCTTGTCGTGGTCCCGGCAAGAGCCAGGAGAGCCAACCCATGAGGTAAGACTCCATCTTGTCGAACATTCGGGGTACCCAGCGACGATACCAGTCGCGCATAGGAGAAAGAATCGGGCCGTCATTGTTCTGATCGCGCTGGGCGGACTTCACTCCGTCTTCGTCTCCAGGAAATTGGCCGGGCAGCACCGAATCGGTGGTATTCTGGGCAGTCTTGTTGACCGTCTTGTGGCCCTGTTGAACCGTAGACTTGACGTCTCCGGTCAACTTGGGGGGTCGGCCCTGCAGGCCGCTGGTCGCCACGCCGGTCGCCGTGTTGAGGGACATTGTTAGGTCGGCACTGGCAGTAGTGCACGAGAGTCAAGCGCACAGGCCTTGTATGGAGGATGGGTAAAAAAATAGGGAGTCTGTAGTAGCAGCACTGTATCTTCTTTTCTTTCGAGAAGGCGAGCAGCAGTAAATAAACAACACGGTGGATAGAGGGGAAGTATGAAATCATCATCATTTTTAAACCGGGTTGCCGGTAAATGACGTAGTGGGCGCCGTCACTCGTAATATGACAGCTGCTATAGCGGCCCACTCAGAACAGTTGATTGCACCACCTACCATGGTAAGTTCTGACTGGAGTCCACAGTACTAAGGTACAGACGTAAGTACTAGGTATGTACGAGTAGTGTGGTCTGGCATTAAGTGGCTAAGCGGAAATGAAACCGATCGGGAAACAGACCCATAAGGCATACACTAGCGGCCTGAGGCTTGAGAATTGCTTGGTTTGTTTGTTTGCGATGTTTGTTGTAAGTTACTGTACTACTAACCACTCCCTCCTAAAGTTACTCCGCACTTTATCTCCTATCAATTTTCCTCAACTCGTAGGCTGTAGATAGTCTCACGTCTCCACTCAAATACTACCCTTTCATCTTCTGTCGACTAGTGTTTGGTAATAGTACCACCCTGCCAGCTACTAGTCTAGCACCGATTCACCCACATTCACGCCAACCACTCTATCATACTTCGCGCAAGTGAATCTAAGCTAAACATGCAGCAGCAAACACCTTGGAATGCTGATCCGCCCCCTCTTCTGCAACCCCTGTCCTGGAGGTGCCTTGGCCATCCGTCACCTGGCCTTTTTCTTCTCTGATCTACCTTTCTTTATTTCTTTCTTCTCTTGCTTCCGTGCCACCCTTCAATCTCCCACTTCTCGTCTATCTTGAATCGAATTGGATTTCCGTCTACAATGTTGGTTTGTCGCCTTTGGCCAGTATTTCTAGTACTGGCTACGGCCTCCGCTGTCTCAGTGAACCCCTTGCCTGCCCCGCGTAACATCACTTGGGGATCGTCTGGACCCAAGCACTTGGCTGGTTTTGTGACTTTACGGGCACCTAACGACACCGACGACAACATCCTCGCCAATGCCTGGAATCGCGCCTGGAACACCATAGTGGACCTGCAGTGGGTACCTGCCGCCACCGAAGCCCCCATCTCAAGCTTCCAGCCCTTCCCAACTGCATCTCCCAAGGCCGCTCAGAGGATTAAGCGCGTCTCAGCGCCCTCGGTGCGATATGTCGACGTGGAAGTGAAAGACATCACTGCGGACCTTCAACATGGTGTCGACGAGTCCTACACTCTTGAATTGACTGAGGGAAGCAGCACGATTGAAATCAGGGCCGCGACGGTCTGGGGAGCGCTCCATGCGTTCACCACCCTTCAGCAGCTGATCATCTCGGACGGCTCGGGTGGCCTGATCATCGAACAGTGTGTCTCAATCCAAGACACACCCCTCTATCCGTACCGTGGTATCATGATCGACACGGGGCGGAACTTCATCTCCGTCGGCAAGATCTACGAGCAGTTGGACGGAATGGCACTTTCGAAGCTGAACGTCCTGCATTGGCACCTCGATGACACCCAGTCCTGGCCCGTGCAGATCGACTCCCACCCCGAGATGATCCAGGATGCGTACTCGCCGCGCGAGATCTTCACTCATGCAGATATGCGCAGTGTGGTTGCGTATGCCCGTGCTCGTGCCATCCGGGTGATCCCCGAGGTTGACATGCCCAGTCACTCCTCGTCGGGATGGAAGAACGCGGATCCAGAGATGGTAACCTGTATCAACTCGTGGTGGTCGAACGATGACTGGGCTCTGCACACGGCAGTCGAGCCGAACCCGGGCCAGCTGGACATCATCTACCCCGGCACATACGATGTGGTGCGGGACGTGTACAACGAACTCTCGGATATCTTCTCTGACAACTGGTTCCACGTCGGCGCGGATGAGATCCAAGCCAACTGCTTCAACTTCAGCACGTACGTGACGGAGTGGTTCCAAGAGGACCCCTCGCGGACCTACAACGACCTGGCGCAGCACTGGATCGACAACGCGGTCCCGATCTTCCGCAACTACAGCACCTCACGCCGACTGGTCATGTGGGAGGACATCGTGCTCTCGACCGAGCACGCGCACGACGTCCCCACCGACATCGTCATGCAGTCGTGGAACAACGGGCTGGACTACATCAGCAAGCTGACAACGCAGGGCTACGATGTCATCGTCTCGTCGTCGGACTTCATGTACCTGGACTGCGGCTTCGGCGGCTTCATCACCAACGACCCCCGCTACAATGTCATGAGCAACCCGGACCCCAGCACCCCGAACTTCAACTACGGCGGCAACGGCGGCAGCTGGTGCGGGCCCTACAAGACCTGGCAGCGCATCTACGACTACGACTTCACCACGAACCTGACCGACGCCCAGGCCGCGCACGTCATCGGCGCGGTCGCGCCGCTGTGGTCCGAGCAGGTCGACGACGTGACCGTCTCCAGCCGCTTCTGGCCCCGCGCCGCGGCCCTGGCCGAGCTCGTCTGGTCCGGCAACCGCGACGAGCAGGGCCAGAAGCGCACCACGCTGATGACCCAGCGCATCCTGAACTTCCGCGAGTACCTCGTCGCCAACGGCGTGCAGGCGAGCCCGCTCGTGCCCAAGTATTGTCTGCAGCATCCCCATGCCTGTGACTTCTACCGTGACCAGAGTGCCGTGCACTAATGAGTATGCACTCACGAAATAAGCCTTTGGTGTAAAAGATCCTTCGTTTTGGAGCACCCCCTCGTTAGTTTGTGGTCAACATTGGATGATCTACGGGCAACTTATGAATGGCTGCTACAAGCCAAATCATCTTGCATATGTGTATAGGTGCTACTTAATCAAATGGCATAAATCCACGAATATACTTACTAGTCGGACCCTGCATGGAATCGTAGTCTACCGAGCTCCTCAGCGTACTAGACCGAGCTGACATCCTCAGTATGTAAAAGCCAGACAGCGGCGGTCACACCGCCAGGGCACCGTGACTAACCACGTTCAAGTCATCCAATTTCCAGATTAGATTAGCGCATTAAGCCCGCCTGATACCCGTAGAAGAAAAGATATATAGACATCCCCGTGAACTCCAGAACCCAAAATGGATTTTCACCTCCTATCGCGCTTCAACGGCGAAAAGGCCGGGACACCGCCGAACCCCCGACCGCGCGCCGTGCCCGCCTTCCGGAAATCAAAGTCCATATCATCGTCCTCCTCATCGATGATCAGCTTCTTCTGCTGCCCGCCCAGCTTGCGCTTGCGGACCTGCGGCTTGGCCAGCATCGAGACATTTCCTGCGCCAAAGATGTCATCGTCGTCGTCGTCGTCGATCGGATCCAGCCGCCTCGACGCCTGTCTCGGTCTTCGCGAATTGCCAGCTGTCGCTGTAGTTGTGGTAGTGGCAGCAATTGTCTTTTCCGGCCGTGCCTTTCCCAAGCCCAGGGATAGTTGGCGGGGTCTTTGTGCTGCTGCTGCTGCAGTAGTAGGGCCGGGGACATCCGGTTCACGGATGATACTGTCCTCGAGCGAGGAGGACTCCTGGTCGCTGTCGTTGTTGGCGTTGTCGGCATGATTCTCGTTGGAATCTGCTTCAGCCGACGGAGCACCGGTGGTCCGGTTCAGGAACGGGGTGATCGAGAAGGCGGATTTCTCGCCGGGCAGGGCTGCGACGGCCGCGGCGCGCTTCTCCCTCTCCGCGTTCTTGGCGCGGACCGCGCCGGGCGTCGCGATCGTCAATTCCGGGTTGATCCGCGCGGCGGCCGCATATCGGTCGGTCGAGGACTGCTCCCTCGACCATTTGACGGGGACGATACTCGTCCCGGCCTGGAGGGGTTGCTGCTGCTGGATGGAGCTACTGCTGTTGCTGTTATTGATTTGGGCCTTGCGGAGCTGATCCTTGGTCGCGAGGAGCTTTTTAGTAAGCGTCTCGATCTTGTCTTCCAGCGCGGCTTTCTCTGCATTCCACTTTGCAGTGGCTGCTTGTTGTTGTTGCTGCTGTTTTTGTAGCTGTTGTTGTAATTGTTGCTGTTGTTGTTGCTGCTGCTGCTCAGACCCCCCGCGAGCAGAACGCGTCCGCTCGTGCGCGCGCCTCTCATTCTCAAGCTCCATCTCTAGCGAACTCAGCTGCCGTGAGAGCGCCTGCTTCTCCGCCAGGAGGGTCTGCGACGAGCTCTCCACCGACTGCAACCGCTGCACCTCGGTCTGCACCCCGGCCAACTCCTTGGCCAGCCGCATCTTCTCCGTCATCAAGGTTTTTACCTCGACGGATGTGTCGGACATGGATTCCAGCTCTCGCTGGTCGGAAATTTTAGCAAATGCCTTGGCACGAACAGAAATCCAACGATGCACCAAACAAACACAACAGCAGGAAGAAAAAGCCCCTCTCCTCCATCCGCTCCCCAAAACCCCGACTCATAAAAGCAAAGCAGTAAGTAGAAGAGGAAGGACGTCAAACTTACAGCAAGATTCTCCTTCTCGTGCCCCAGCACATACACCGTCTGCTGGATGCGGTCCCGCTCCAGCGCGACCTGATTCAACCTCCCCAGGATCTCCAGCTCGGCGGAGCGCACCCGCCCGATCTCCTGGCGCGCCTGGTCGAGCTGCTGCTGCAGGTTCTCGTTCTCGAACTGCTGCAGCAGCTGGTCCACCCGGTGGACGCGGCGGGCTTCCTGGTCGAGGAGCTGCGCCGCGGTGCTCACGGTCTGGTCATATTCTCTCTCGAGGGAGAGGGTATGTAGACTTAGATCATACTGTTTTTTGGGGGCGGGTTAGTGGTTTGTGTTCATGTTGAAAAGGGGGGGGAAGCAAGTCTTCGGGTTGCGTTTCTGGGGCAATTGGGTAGGCTCCGCGCGGAGAGGGTAGAGGGGATTGAGATAGGAGCTTACGTCTTCGGCGGTGCTGTCGATGCCCATTCTTTGTTGAGTTGTCGCTCGCGAGGTCATTCGAGGCAGAGATTGGGATACTGGCGATTGTATACCTGGTTTAAAACAATTAAAGGTATAGGATGGGGATAGAGCGATTGGTGACCACGGCACGTAAGGATGTAAACAGAAGGCTATCTGCACGTGACTGTGATGCAAATGTCCCAAACATGCTGTGAGACGCCTGATACCTAAGGCATAAACGGTCTTATCGCATTGGGGTACAAACAGCCGCTATTTCTCCTGGATGACGCTACACCTTTATAAAAAAAAGCTTTTCTATGCGATTGAATCTTAATTGTTTGAGGCATAAGTTGAAATCACCAAGCGGTGAGCCTTGAATATCCACTGGTTGAAGCTAAACATGCAGAGGGCCAAAACATAAACTTTGTATGTACAGTACAGTGCAAACCGGACTTGACGTCATACCATGATCGCAAAACAAGAGACTGGGGAATCTAAAATATCGTACCCAGATGAAGCAAAAACAGACGCTGAAAACACCTAATGTCTATCCATGTAACGAGTCGTCGAAAACAGTTTCCAATCTAAGCCTTGGGCCGGTAGAACTTGCTCTCAACCCACGGCATCCCGGTGACCGTGGCCTTTCTGACCTTATTCCGGACCAACACTCCGACCTCGGTTCCCTTCTTGTGCAAGCCATTCTTGATGTATCCCATCGCGATGTTCACACCTCCTAGCGACGGACTCGGCAGGCCGGAGGTGATCACTCCGATTTGCGCACGAGACTCGTCGTTGAGATCCACAATGATAGCGCCTTCGCGAGCAGGGGATCCCTTCTCAACGGTGAATCCCACCCGGCGCTGGGAAAGAGTCTTGGCAGGGGAAGCGACCTGAGGAAGGATCGTAGCAGCGCCGTTGAATTTGGCGGTGGCGGGATCGCGACGCTCCTTGCCCACAAGCCAGGTCAGGGATGCAGAGGGAGGTGTCTGCGAAGTAGAGATGTCGCTGCCGTAAAGACACATGCCTGCCTCGAGGCGGAGAGAGTCACGAGCGGCGAGTCCGGCAAGGCGCACCTGCTCGGGATTCGACAAAAGGAGTTCTGTCACACGGCGGGGAAGGGAAGGATCCTTAGCAGTGGGAATGCTAATCTCAAAGCCATCCTCACCCGTGTATCCAGTCCGAGAGACCAGAAGGGGCTCCGCGCTCGAGGTTCCATCGGGGAATGTCAGAGTGATCGACCGGCAGTTGCCAAAGTAGAGGTTGCTGAGGTCGGAGTCCTTGACCAGAGGCTGAAGGACAGAAGCAGCCAGAGGACCCTGCAGGGCAACGAGAGCACGGTCATCGAGAATCTCCCAGTTGATGGACTCAGGGCCGTGAGTGGACCGGTAGATGTCAATCTCAGCTTGGAGGAAGGCAAGATCTTCAGCGCGGCGGCCAGCGTTGGTAACGAAGTAGAAGGTATCAGAAGACAAGCGGGTGATCACAGTGTCATCAAGGATGCCGCCTGTGCCATCTTCGAGGAGGCAAGAGAGGGTCGATGTGTTGGGCTTGAGCTTGTCGAGGGAGGAGGGCGTGATTTTCATGAGAAGTTCCAGGGCGCCGGGGCCGCTCAAGTGGTGCTGAACCCTGCATGTCTGTGTTAGCAAGAATAAACTAAAGGTAGATGTTCGGGCATTGGAGCTTACATGTGGCTAACGTCAAACAAACTGGCCTTTTCGCGGGTCCAGTGGTGGCTCTCAACATGGCTCAGGTCGGAGTATTGGAGGGGCATGGAGAACCCCGCAAAAGGCACCATCTTTGCGCCGTTTGCAACATGGACATCGTACAGTTGCGTTTTCTTCAGCGAGCCAGTGGAGCTTGAAGAAGATGCATAGCGCAAGCCTCCGTTTGCGCGCAACGGAGCAATTGCAAAACGAGGGCGAGCAGTAGAAGTCGGAGAGACGGCGGCGGAGCGGAGAAGGCGGGGAGAAGCAATGAGGGGTTGTGACAACAGAGCTACGCTGCGAGAGCGCGAATTGGCAGCCAAGAGGCGAAGACCACGACTTGTAGAGCAGATAGAAGACATTGTGAGCTATGATGGTGAATTATGAAAAGCTTGAATGGTAAGAAAGGAGGAAAGAAGAAGGGAAGGGGAAGAAAGATGTCGGAGTAAATGGCGGATGCGGAGAAGCTTGTCGATAAGCGGGAAAGTCACATGCCGATAGGACAGGCCAATTCCGCGGAAAGCGAATCGGCAATCTGGACAACTGAATCGATCTGCCAGCCATGTCTAGTGGACTTCTTTACTTCCCCCACTATAGAAAACAACTACTAGGTATCTGTGGATACAAGTGTCACGATTTTCGATATTGTCGATACTGATAAATGAAACTAAATTTATGGGCCGTTGGATAGTCTAGCCAGTGCAGAGGTACCCATGAAAGTGCGCACATTTCAGCCAAACCATGATCACAACATGAAGACTTAATCAAATTCGTCGTTGGCAGCCTCAAATGCATCCGCCTCATCGTTACCATAAGCTCCTCTCTCCATTCTAGCCCCGTCGGTGAAGGAGTATCGATCGGGGATTGGATCGCTGTATTGATTGACAGTAGACTCGAACATCTCTTCCGGTGTCCAGCTTGAAGTCGGATCAGCAGCTGCGGCCCTTGTGCTTCCTGAGAGAGAGGCGTCCTGCAGTCGAGAGGCAGCTTTCTGATTTTGAGTGGTGCTTCTCAGACGACGAGTCTGATCATCGTTCTGAGGGAGCCGGATGCCTGTGTCGGTTTTGGAGGACGGCATGGTGTTTTCGAGAATGGACCTAGAAAGGCTTAGACCTTAGTTTCAGGCCTTCAACGATGATCTTGTTACTTTCCAGTAAGAGAGGTGATATACCCGATTTCTAAGGGAGACGTTGTATGAATCTTGAACGATTCTTTGCGCTCGAACCATGTCAAGATCTACTTGACTTATATGTGCGTGTTCAGCAGTCCGCCACTCCTATTCTTGCGTTCAGCAGTCCTCATACAACGACACACATCCTACATCACAACTGCGTCAAGCAAATTGAACGCTCGTCTCGTGGGGATACTTAAGAGTCAATTCAGAGGATGAGAGGCTGAGATGAGCCTTGAGACTTGTTTTGAGAAAGTATAAGTGGAAAGTCTAGATACGGAAACCTTTGAACCGATCTCATCACATTGACTCGAATATCAAGTCACTAGGACACCAATATACCTTCATATGCTTTCTCTGCCAAGGAAACTCTCTTTCTAAGACCGAAGGGGAGTTGAGCTAATCCACGCGCCGCTTCCAGTACGTATACCTCATTGTTAAGGGTGACGAGTGGAGATCTATTCCGTCCCAATGCTTGGGGAGGATTCTGATCTCTAATATATTCAACATGCAGGAACCACTTCCTTCGTGGTAAGAACGGCCTTGCTTCTACTTTCGATTCACCTACCAGAATTGTTAGATAGCCACACATCCTACAACCTGTTGCCATGAAACTTGCGCTGGGTCCTTTGCAGACCTTTCTTTGGCAAAATCGCAAGCCCTAACAAGGTACTTCTAAACCCCATTGTTCGTTGTCCAAGTGGCGTCGAATTTCCAATTCGCAGCCTTTGTTCATACTTCTCTATGAGCAACAAAGCCCTTCGAGATAGCCAGACAGATGGAAGGTGTGAAAGAATTCGATTGTCTACTTGTCCTCAATGGTCTTTGTTCTCAACGCCTATAGAGAAAATGTCCGCCCCTTTAAATCATAAGAAGCCGCCATCTGGCTGCTACTCTTTTTCCTGTTAGTAGATACACTGGTCACTATTCATCATAACAATTGTCCGTCTCAATCATTGTTCGCAAACCAAGCTGTATTAGTTTTCTAGAGTCAAGTGGCCACAGATGCCAGCACAACGCCAAACCCAATCCCAGACAGGGGCAGCAAGCCGCCGCAGGTATCAGCTCCGCTCGAAGGGCCCAGTGGGTCGTGAGATCTTCCAAGTTTTAGAGGAACGCAAGCCAGCAAAAGTCTCCAAATCAAAGCCCAAGCCACAACGTTACAGCTTCAAGGTGGGAGTTCGACTACGTCTGGTCTCCAAACAAGCGGCGTTGGGTTTTATCAGTGGCAGCAGTGCCCCAGAGGCCCCACAATCCTACCAGCGCAAGTCGCAGATTGAGAGTGAAGCAGACGCAGGCAGTCAAAACTGTGGCACCAACTTCGCTGTCGAGCAATTGATATACCAGACCCTCCCGTGCAAGGAGGGCCCAATTGTTGTCAACGCCGAGGTCGATGTCCAAGAAGAGGTTCCCTTCGAGGCCATAGTTGATGCGAAGTTCTTGCCATCGGACGATGATCCTGGTACGCAACCATACACCCTCAAAATCACGACGGCACTCGACATGCATCTGCCTATAACAAAACTAACCAATATCTCGTTCCGTCCAGAATTCCGACGCCGCTCAGCCCAATGGCAGATCCCACCTGTAGAGGACCCGGAGCGATCCGCTGGAAAAATCAAGCTGTCCGATTTCTTCCAGGCGGTCCGCAATGACCTGTATCGCGATCAAACCGACGCGGACATGTTCTGGTTTATGCTGAAACTCCTCGAAGACTTCCCATCCGATCGAAATGGAGACGTGTACGTTCCACCCGCCCCCCCTATCCCAAGGGCAGTGTGCTGTACAAAGCCCTGCTTATCCATCAACAAAAAGCTGACTCCAAGAAACCCCGAACTACAGCACCTTCCTAGGCGACTGCTACTTCCCTCTGTCGCGCGAGCATGCGCGTGCCAAGGAAGGCGCCTATTTCGCCTACTACATCACACGATGGAAATATGTCAACGAAGGACTCGAGACGCCGCCTCTCGCGATATGCGTAGTAAGCTTTTTCCACCTCCTCCCCTCCCTCCCAACAATTAAATCCCCCATCAACCAGCAGTAATTTAATTCGATATTCTCCCAGTGTAACAACAAGGGCGGCCGAGAAGGCATCGCCCGCTACGAGATCCCCCCGCTCCTCCTCCAAGCCTGGATGAACACGAAGCTCGAAACCGGGGGCCTCGACGACCAGAACGCGTACGTCCTGAGCCAGCAGGGCTGGGACCTCCGGTTCGTCAAGGCCACCATGCCGGTCCACGAAGCGCAGCGGCTCGGAAGGTTTCCGCACCTCTCCGGGAAGGTCAGGGTGGAGCGGACGAAAGTGTACAATCTGCGGGATCCCGGGGAACGGAGGGAGGCGCTGCGGGCGCTGATGGGTTTACTGCTTTATTTTCATGATCGTCCGGAGTTTGTGTATGCGAATACTCAGAGTGGTTATATTTTTGTTTGAATTTTCGATGAAGCTGATTCTTGGAGGGAGGAGTTCTGCGGGATGTGGTTTGATCATTGGGGCTGTTTTGGTTTCGGTCAGGATGTATATAGATTGTGGGTTATGGTTGTATACCACACTTTGGGTATGAACGTGCAACGAATTGCATTTCATGTATTTCAAGCTATCATATAGCAGGTGTTGTAGCTGTGCGAGATGTTGTAGTAATTTTCTATTGATATTATGAATGGAACACCACCATTGTTAGACCACTCAAGATGCACACTGCATAATATCGAGGTGGGTTACACGAAGACACATTCGCAGAATACAGTTTATTGGCCGGAAAGAACAAGCAAATAACGAAGTCGCATATTCATAACTCATAACTCATAAGATACAACAATGGTGTTAAACCAACGAAGGTCACACTCTACCGCTGCACACCGGGGATAGCACCCGCGGCACTCTTGGTGCCAGCGGCCAGCGAAGAGCCCGCCGACTGGACGCCCGAGTACAGTCCCTGGCCGGCACTCTTGGAGCCCTCGACGACGGGGTCCGTGACACCCCCCAGCGGACCGCCATACGACCCATTCTCATCCTTCCCCTTCCGCTCGGCGCGATTGATGCCTTCCTTCGAGACGGCGTTGCCCACCGGCGACAGCAGCCCGTTCTCGCCCAGCTGGTTGCCCACGAGGTTGTGCACGTCGTCCTGGATCTGATCGACCTGCTTGACGCCCGTGACCTTGGTCTTGTTTAGGTTGTCTGCCATGATGGGTAAGGTTAGTTGTGTTTCGACCGGCGTGATTGTGATAGAGAGGGATGGAGGGCTTACCTTTCGTGACATACGAGGCCTTGTTATCCCCCTTGCCGAACCACTTAAGATACTGGTCTTCCAGCCAGGGCATCCACTTCTCGTACTGGTCGTTGTAGACCTCCTGCACCCACTCGGCGTAGGTCTGCTTCTTGCGCTCTTCCTCCGGCAGGTTGTTGTAGATGTGGCGTTGTTGTTCTTCGGTGTGCCGGCGGGGCTGGCTGGGGCGGCCGAGGGCGTTGTTGAGGGAGTCCATTTTGGGAAGGTGTGGATTGGTTTGTATGTGATGAGATAGGGACAGCAAAGTGAAAGTTGTGTGCTTGCGCCTGAGGATGAAGCTGTAAAGATCTAGTGTTCTGATTTCGAACTTGTAAGGCGAGTAAGAAGTTTTATAGTTGGCAAACCACGGCTGACGCATGCCATGACGTCTGTGGATCTGGCGCAGATGAGCCCAAGCCGGCGCTGTCAATGCTCCATCCAACCGTATGACAGGGTCGAGGTTCTGGAAGCCGCGTGAGTGCAGATCGTTCTGATATCAATGTCATTTAGGATGGGGGATGAGGGCCGCGACCGGTGACGTCACATGGCTATGTGGCTCGTGCGCACAGCGCCACGGCTCTGGGGCATGTGACAGGGACATCCATCATTATTCTGTTTGCTCTGTTTGTTGATGTCAATTGAAGAAAAGTAGCTTGTGCTTGATGCATGAGTGCAGGCTGCTGCTGCCTGGGGAGGACTGATGGTGTTGGTCGCCAGCAAAAGTTAATGCATAAGGTAGATCTGTGGGTACGCCTCAGAGGATCAGCCAAAACAATCACGAGCACTAGCCATTGGGCGACCGTTGGACTCTTGGACTCATGTAGGTAGGTCAACATGAGACAGATATTTAACAACCTCAGCATGTCGCCTCCTCGCTCTTCTCATCTCTTTAGCAATTGCATAGATTCCCCTTTCCTTTAGACTCGAAAAGTCAAAGAGTGAGGCTGTCGATGGAAAATAAAAGTTGCATCGGCTGTTGACGCGACAGATGGGACCACCCATGCTGTTCCAATTGAGTTGCATATCAGACCTCCTTAGCGTCGCCTCAATGTGGATTCAAGCAGACCAAGGCTGCGAACACGTAGTCAAGCTCGACAAAACCACACCCAATAACATGTCCATATTTTTAGAATAATTGGTAGTTCGCTGTGAGGTGGCCAGTTCAACGTTGCGACCAGACCGCCCTTTGATCGGGTCTCACACACACAACCCGCATATCGGCGGGGAGTGAGCGAGAGGGGTTCAAAGTCCGTCTGTTTTCCCTTTCCCTCTTTTTCTTCTTTGATTTTTCGTTTTGTGTATGCATCCTGTGCGATAGACGGGGAAGAGGGGCTTGGGTAAGTCGTCAACTGTGGGTTTGGGGTTTTTTTTCAAGGAGTATATCGTTGCAAAGCAATGCCGTTCTTTCCTCTGTTACTTGTTTTGGCGGGTCTGACTCTGTTCCTTTCGCGACGTCGGTATAAGGCCATCGAAGCCGCGAGTGGTGGGAGTCCTCGAAGTCCTCATGTCGTTGTCAAGGGCCACACGTACTCCGATAGTGTAGAGGGGATCGAGCTGCGACCGCTACCGAGTACGAAGATCGAGAACGTGCATAGTGCATGTATCATCGGGGCGGGCCATGTGGGTGAGTACAAAGTAACATAGAGTCTATTGTCCTGATGGACTCAAAGAGCTTACCCATGTTCAAAAGGAGCATTGACTGCCATCATCCTGGCGTCGCAGAACCCTCACGTCCAATTCTGTGTGGTCGATCGAGATGCGAGTCTCATTGAGGCTTGGAAATCGGATCGTCCTCCTATCCTTGAGCCGGGGCTAGAGGATTTGCTCTTCGACGACCCTCCCGGGTTTGCGATGGAGGCATCCAGCCTCCCGGAAGAGGCGAAGGTGAATGATTCGAGCCAAAACAATGATGCTGAGAGAACGCGACGACAAAGGAAGTTGGCCAACCTCGCCTTTTCCACTAATATCCATGCGGGAGTGGTTTCCGCAGATCTAGTCTTTCTTTGTGTAGAATGTTCTCCAGATACACCGGTGAGACCAACAGACGAACGTCACAAGAAATAGGACTAAGTACTGACAATGGACTGCAGTCGGAGACCAAAGAAGGAATCAACCTCGCGCCGCTTGAGGCCGCAATCCAAGCGATCGCCCAAGTATCGACCGGGCACAAGATCATCGTGCAGAGGAGCACAGCGCCGTGTGGCATCGTCCAGCGCATAAAAAAAGCTGTCAGTAAACAGACACCGCACTGAAGCACTCACCCAAGCTGCTACCTAGTACGGAGACTGACACCCCCACTTTCATGATGACAATATATAGCTACGCAAAACCGCATCCCCAACAGCCACCTTCGACGTCCTGTCGAACCCGGACTTTCTGATCCCCGGCACGGCCATCCGCGACCTGCTCTACCCGCCTCGCGTCCTGATCGGCCACATCTTCTCCGAGGACATGTCCGTCGAGGCCATCACCGCGCTAAAGCGCCTCTACCTGCCCTGGGTCCCCGAAGAGCGCCTGATCACCATGGACGCCTGGTCCGCGGAGCTGTGCAAGCTCGCGGCCAACGCCTGCCTCGCGCAGCAGATCAGCAACGTCCAGTCCCTGAGCGCGATCTGCGAGTCCACCAACGCCAACATCGCCCATATCACTCAGACACTGGGGCTGCCACCGCGCGTAGGGCTGGGGTTTGGGGGCGGTACAGACTCCCTCACGGAGATCCTGTGCTTGATCTATCTTGCAAGGGAGCTGGGCTTGCACCCCGTCGCTGAGTATTGGAGGGCGGTGCTCCAGATGAACGAGTTCTACCACAGCCGCACCGCGAAACGAGTCACGGAGCGGTTCACGGGGGAGCTGAAGGACCACCGGGTGGCGATCTTGGGTTTCGCGGGGGTGAAGACTTGCGCGATTCGGGATCAGTCGTCTACGGCGGTAGGATTGGCGCGCGACTTGATGAGCATCGGGGTGCAAGTGACGGTCTTCGATCCTCGGATCCCGGGTGATCAGCTGCGGAGTGCGCTACGTCTCGCGGACGCATCCCTGGAAGCAGTCACAATCGTTGACTCGGTCGATGCGGCTTGTCAGGGTTGCAGTGGGCTGATACTGCTTATGGAGTATGATGAGTTCAGCCACGAGCAGGTGCGGTGGCAGGGCATTGCAGGGCAGATGCAGGGTCCGAAGGTGTTTCTGGATCTCTGTGGAGTGCTTGATCGGTTCAAGATGCAGCAGTGGGGGTTTGATATGCTCCAGCTTGGGGTGAGGCAGAAGGACGCTCATTGATTATGATGATTTTGATGATGGGACGATGTACAGAACGAAGGATGGAGTACGACTGATCAGGGAATCTTTGGACTGGTGCTCTTTGCGTGTGGGTTCGTTATGCGGGAGTTGGAGAGGATGCTGGATAGTTTAATTATTGTAATACTTACTAGGGTTTGCCTGTGGCTAGCTAAATAATTTTTATACACATATACAAGGTCAAGGCAGAAGTCACTGGGTGAGGAGGTATACAACGGTACTTTCAAAGCTCTAAATCGAGGCTTGGCGCTGATCCATGGACGTGACTACCACGGCTACGATGCTGAAGACTGCACTTGTGTACTGGTACTAGTAGATGCATATAATCCAGTGACGACTCGCTCGATCATGATTAAACTCAAGTACTTTTTTCTATACATTATTCAAGCACCTTATGCCAGGACTACCGGATCTTGTAGACGCATGGCTTAAGAACAGCCGCTTCTTCAGCAGCGGACATGCCCTTGTCGGACGAGCGGTCGATGAACCGCTTCTTGCCAGGGCCACCGGCACCAGCGCTGGGGGCGGCGGAGCCGGCATGTTTGCCCTTGGTGGGGGCGCCACCGGCCTTCACAAACTCCATCTTGACGAACATCTTGTTCGACTTATCAAGAGTCTCCTGCTTGAGAATGAAGCCTCGCGTCCGGAAGACCTCCACGAAGGCCGAGATATCCGTCTCATCATCGTTGTTGGCGGGACGAGCGTCCTCCGCGTAGATCTCGTTGTCGGAGACATCCGAGTCCGCGTTGTCCGCCGACTGCTTCTTCTTGAGCTTCTTCTGCTCCGCCTTGCTGAGCGGCTTCTTGGCGCCGATCTGCGCCTTCTTGCGGGTAACCTTGCCGAATCGGCTCTTCACTTCGCTGACCCAGCATTC